GACAAAGGAGTCAAACATTTTCACTGGAGGAAAAAGAGCCTCTTTAATAAATGGCACTGGAAAAATTGGTTTTCAACATGCCAAAGATTAAAACTAGACCTATATCTGTCACCATGCACTATACTAAAATTGAAATGTATTGAAGATCTAAATATTAAATGGCACTGGAAAAATTGGGTTTCAACTTGCCAAAGATTAAAACTAGACCTATATCTCTCACCATGCACTAAACTAAAATTGAAATGTATTGAAGATCTAAATATTAAAACAGAAACACTAAACTGGCTGGAAGAGAGGTTAGGAAGAACTCTTTTTTAATTATTTTATTGGTACATTTTAGGTATACAATACGTTTACATTTATCACTGGGTGCTTGTACCTTTACATGATGTATCTTAGTTCTTAATTTTTTTCCCCATTTAGGAAGAACTCTTGAAGACATAGGTGTAGGAAAAGATTTTATGAACAAAACCTCAGTTGCCTGTGAACTAGCACAAATAATCAACAAGTGGGATCTCTTCTTACTAAAAAGCTTCTGCACAGCAAGAGAAACCACCAACAGAGTAAAGAGGCAACCCACAATTCAGGAAAAAATTTTCCCATTTTCTTTTAATAGTCTGCTTACTTCTTGAGAGAGGTTTCTCTCTCAAGATTATTAGGAGTGTTCTAAAGTTTATACTCATTTTCTTATGTGTTGTTGATACACTGTCCTATTGGTAGCAAACGTGGATTGTCAGAAGTTATCAAGGTGACTTACTGCTGGTACAATTCTTTATAAAATATCAGGATGAATAAAATAGATCTTTTTTCCTGTCCCAATGAATATTTTTGCTATTATTCAGAGTTGCATAACTTTCACTGAGTTTACACTGGTCTTGTCCTTATTTCCAGGCATTGTAAGTCTTGAAATCTGGCACTACAAATCTTCCAACTTTGTTCTTTTCCAAGATTCTTTTAGCACTTCTAGTACCACTATATCTTGTTGTAAATTTTAGAGCAACCTAGCCAACTAGAAAAGGCCTACTGAGACTACGATTGGGATTTCTTTGAATTTACAGATTAATTTAACAGAATGGACATAATGAATATCCAGTCAATAAACATGGTTAATCTCTTCATTTGTGTATAACTTCTTTCATTTCCCTCAGAAATGTTTTGTAGTTCCTATATTTTGTATATATTTTGTTAAATTTTCCTTGTTTTTAATGCTATGATTTTTTAAAATTTCATTTTAATTTTATTAATTTTATTTTTATTTCACTGTTAGTATATTAGAAATACAATTGATTTTTGTGTATTTGCCTTGGGTCCTATGACCTTGCTAACTTCATTAATTCATTTAGTAGTTTTACGGGTTTTTTTTTTTGTAATTCCATAGAGTTTTCTATGTACACTATTTTCTACAAATAAAAATATATTTTTAAATTCAATTCCAACTTTATATCTTGTATATTTTA